TATCTCGAATAATAAGTTAATTATATGTACTCTTTACAGGGAAACGTTCAACAGTGCTAACCGAGTGGGCTGAAAAAGTAGTTAGTAAAAATGAAGAGCGTACGACAGGATGGTCCGTTTCTGGTGTTTCAGATGCAATATATCAAGTGCATGATTTCAAACATGGTGGCATAGTTGATCTGAGGCAAGAGACTTGTACATGCAAATATTGGGAAGGAACTGGGTTGCGTTGTGGTCATGTCATAATGGTCTTAAAGCACTTGAAAAAAACTAACTTCGGACATCTGGCTATAGATGCTTACAAAATGGAAACTTAACGAAGTACGTATGAGGAGCCTGTTTACCCACTTCCAGAACCGTGTGATTGGGAGATTCCTGCTGAGATGATGGTTGTTAAACCCCCGATAATGGATACACGTCAAGCTGGTAGACCGAGAAACAGAAATCGTATCTCGTCACAAGGTGAGGAACCTATAGTAAGAAGGTGTAGTAGATGTGATAGTACAACACATAATGCAGCAACTTGTCCGGCATTGGTCCCAATGAATAAAAAAAAGGCTAGAAAAAATAGCGCGACATCAGGTAGTAACACAAAAGTGAAAGGGAAAGGGACAGAAGGGACTCAGGAGACGCTAGAGACGCACGGGACACAAGAGACGCGTTGGACGAGTGGGACGCAGAGAGAAGACTATTGTTCAACGTTTGATTTGAATTATTGATGTTGTATTTATAATTAATTATGTTTTGTTTTAGAGGACATTAATTTGTGTACTTCGAAATGGTGTGTTTATTTTAAAGATGATGGGTAATATTATGATTATATTAGTGCATCATTACTAGTAGAATAATAACTAATACTCGAAGATAATACATTCAACAAACCAGAAACATATAGTAAACGTACAACAACAGTAATTAACTTAAGGGAATTGCAAAGGATACTTTTCTTTCTCCATTGTTATGTAGTCGTCCCTAATTCTTATTTTATCTTCCATACGGTCCTTTTGGCTCCCAAGTTCTATCATTTCTGCATCCTTGTCAGCAAGCCATTTTTCAGACAGTCTGATATTCTTCTTAGTTTTTTTTTTATCCATTCCTCATGATCTTTGATTTTTTTTGGTAATCGTCATCCTTTCCTCAACCTCTTTGCACTCCGCCGCAATGAGGTCACGACGATTAGGGAGAGCTCGAGATGAGTCTTTATCTCTTTTTTGTTGTTCTTCAGCCCATTGTAGTTGTTGCAAAGTATCCTCAGACATATACGGCTCTCTTAAATTTGGTGATGGGGCAAGAAAAGGGTCGATCGGATCACAATAGAAACAATCAACTTCGTTGCACGAGCAAATATATAAAGTTGAAGATGAACTCATTTTAAATTTAAAAAATATTTATAACTCTATACCAAAAATCCAACGACCATCCATGACTATATATAGTCCCTTCCACTCTGCAGAGAGCTGTTGTCAGTCCGCAGAGCTTTTTGTCAGTCTGCAATAATGTTTGTCAGTCCGCAGAACGCTTAGTCAGTCCGCAGAGCTGTTTGTCTAGTCGTTGTCATCCATACATTACAATTATGGGAATAAAATTATTTATTTAAAGGTAAATTTTTTTTATTAAAAACTAAACAACGCCAACAGACCATTACAACTACGGTTAACATAGAACTAAATACAAACTAATATTCGTTGTGATCCATACAATACAATTCAATTGAATTGTCGTGGAGGTAAGACCACAACACTTTCAACTGGTATTTCCCAATGCCTAAGGGTTGGAATAGGATTGACCGTCTCAGTTTGGTAAGCATTTCGATATACCGCGGTACTTAACTTTAAATTTACCATTTGCTGGATTTCTGCAATTTCAAGTCTTTGTAGTGAAGCTATAGCATGCTCACAAGGTATACCACATTTTTGCCATTTACCGCAACTACAAATACCACGGTCTAATTGGACAGATTCGGTTGTTGAATACTTACTCACTTCATATCTGTCGCCAACAATATACATAATCCTACAACCATCCGAGTGGATAAATCTTTTATGAATCACCTTAAGTGCATAAGGGGTTAGAAGACCATGAAAATCCCCTGTGAAATGAACTGAATCAAAAACAAAATTATGATGTCATAACGTATAATAACATATCAATTGACCATTTGAGTGATGTCATAACTTATAATTACCTCCAAACGCAGCACGTTGAAGATACACTGCTTGCATCGAGTCATGGACCATTTCAATGGTTGTTGTTATTGGAAACTCATGCATGTTTGTTCTTAACCAATTGACAACAACGGGAATGTCAATGAATTTAACATTGAAACGTACTCTTGGAAAACAAGCCCGTACCCATTTTGCAATGGGAATATTGTCAAGCCAATGAAGATCATTCCCATTAACCTCATTTTTTAAGTTGTTCAAACATGCATAAAAAATGAGACAAATTATACACTTTACAAGTCTTCCAGAACAACTGCTCTACGACTGTATTGCTTCCGGTGGAAGCGCGTATTTTCTCGGCTATATTTTTACAACAATAGCCATGCTATGAATCAGGGTAGACTCTTTGAACTGCAAAGTCTATGGAATCAGACATATGGCTTATGAAACCAACTTCTGTATTGTCACCTAAACATTCTTTAAGCCTCCTCATGAACCATAACCATGAATTGTCACTGTTTATGGTTCCCAAGGCAAATGCTATGAGAAGGGGTTCATGATTTCCATCTAAAGCAACCGCAATGTACATTGATCTTACATACGCCCCAATTAGAGGTACTTGACCAACGAATATGATTGGTATCATAGACGTGAGAAACGTATGAATCTGTAAGTCAAGATAAGAATATTAGGCATATAACAACTTGAAATAACTAAATATTTATTTACTATAATGGATTACATACCACGCATCCCAATGCCACGAAACAAATATGGAAACGATTGTACTGATCTTTCGTAATGTACGTGAAGGTGTTAGGATTGGTTCTTTGCAGATTATGGAAAAAAGTCGGTAGGTTGGAGAAACTTTTTCTTAATACCTGATTGACTGAACTCATTTTCACAACTTTCGAAACCTTGTAAAAATGAAAATGTTTGTCCAATTTAAAAGGCATTAGTATACATTATTCCGCAGAACTTACTTGTCATTCCGTGTAAATGACTTGTCAGTATGCGTAACTTATTTGTCAGTCCGCATAACCTGTTTGTTTGTCAGAGCTGTTTGGCACTAGAGACGCACGGGACACAAGATACGCGCTGGACGAGTGGGGGACGCATAGCTGTTTGTCAGTTCGCAGAGCTGTTTGTCAGTCCGCAGAACTGTTAGTCACTCCGCATAAATGTTTTTATGTTATTTGAATGTATGGTTTCGTAACATTTGTTGGTGAATTATGTTTCAAAAAATAAAGGATAAATACCATATTACATATAAATAAAGCAATACAAGAACAATACAAAACGCAATACTAGTTAAAAAAAACGGGACATTTTTCAAAAGATTCCAAGGGGCTTCATACTCGAAACTCTCTCCGTTGCTAATGGATTTGTATTCTTCTTTAACCTCCTCCAAGATGTCTTCCTTAGTATCATTCACACGATCGTCTTCAATCTTATTATAAAGATCGTTGAATAACACAACTTCTATTTTCAATTCATACCATTTTGAAGCTATATCAAGCGTACTGCGATGGTTTTCTATGGTGGTTTCGGCGTCAGTGTCGAAGGTATTGGTTAATAGGACCCAAAACATTCTATCCTCCAAACTGGTGTTCTCGTAGACATTAATATATGCACGAGTTAGAAGCAAATACTCGTTAGCGGTCCATGGTTTTGAACCCATTGTAAAACATACAAAGTACATGAAATAAAATAGATTAGATGAAGTGATACATAATTTTTTGTCATTTTATATAGACATGACAGTCCGAAAATATCCAATGATCATCCATGACAATATATAGACCCTTCAACTCAGCAGAGAGCTGTTCGTCAGTCCGCGTTACTGACTTGTCAGTCCGCATTACTGAGTTGTCAGTCCGCATAGCTATTCGTCAGTCCGCGTTACTAACTTGTAAGTCTGCGTTACTGACTTGTCAGTCCGCAAAGCGAATGGTCAGTCTGCGTTACTGACTTGTCAGTCCGCGTTACGGACTTGTCAGTCCGCAAAGAGAATGGTCAGTCCACGTTACTGACTTGTCATTCCGCGTTACCGACTTGTCAGTCCGTGTTACTGACTTGTCAGTCTGCGTTACCTATGTTTTTATATATAGTAAAGCACGTATCTATACGTCCGAATTAGAGGTAAGGGATCATTTCACAAAATGGCATCCAATATACCAACGTCTTCAAATGCAGCTAATCTGTCTAATGCGTCTGCTCCAACAAATGGTACATCTCCATGGACGACAACAGAGTTGTTGGTCCTAACACGATGCTGGATTACCGTTTACGAGGGTCTACCGGTAATGGCTCCCCTTAATTACCTTGTTGGTGATGAATGGTCCCGCTTAGTAGCTTTGTTCAACTATAAGGTGGGACAAGGACAAGAACGACTAAAACCCGATATTGTTAGTAAATGGATGGATTTAAAGACTAAACTCACATGGTACAATCGATGCTACAATTATGAGAAAATGCGATGCTCTGATGTTGATGATGAAGAACATCTTGAATATGTGAACGGATATTACCTGTGCCAGTTTGATGAAACTGAGTTCGAGTATACGGACGTTTGGAATCTGGTTAGAAATAAACCTTTTTTCATGTAGACGACTATTTTATTCGTAATGTTGTATGTAATGTTTGTTAGTCGTACATCTTTTATTTGTAATGTTCTATGTAATGTTTGTTAGTTGTTCATCTTTTATTTGTAATGTTTTCTGTAATGTTATTATGTTATTTCAAATGTTTGTTTTGTTTGAATGTATCGTAATATATGTTGGTGAATTATGTTTCAAAAAATATATGATACAAAAGTTGTTTATATTAAACAAAATTACTAAAAACAAGTATTTCATAATAATGTATACAAACTTCCAAACATCAAGTTATTTAGTATCCCAAATAATATTTGTCATCCTATTTCTGTAGAGAAATCCCGCATCTCTACATGGCTTATCACTCTTCACCGGTACCCCCAAAACAATCATTTCCATATACATGCTTACGAATACTCCACAATCCCCTCTATTAATAATATATTCTTGTTGTGGCGCGTCTACAATATCAATAAACTCCACAACTGCGTTGTCTTTGTGTCCATCGGGGAAATCCTTCCAGTAGTCAATGACATCTAGCTCTTCGATTATACTATCCCCAAAACTTTTGAATTCTCCACCAGTCAAGTACGTTGTGAAGTAATTCATACATCGTGCTGAATCATAAATGTGTACTTTCCAAATATCTAAATGTAGCACTGCCAAAAACCAATGGGCATGAGGAACGTTTATGGGGAATAGAACCTGCAAACAAAAAAAAATTTAATACTCATTAATTCAGTTCCTATGTAAAATAAATAATTAATAAACTTAACTAACCCTATCCACATCCTTCCATTTAGGATGGCCTCCGACACTATTTTCTATATTCCTAAGAAAATATGTTTTTCCATTTTGCAAATTAAGTTCTTGAGGGAATATCGTCCACCATGCGTTCGCCGACCGTCTTTCCATGAGCAAGGCACTCTATATCGCAATATGCTGTACATTTTAAGATAAAAATGTTACAGTTTTTTTATATAAATTATCGTCTAAAAATGTAGTTAAAAATTATATTTAACGAATGTTACCGAAGAAATTAACCACCCAACGTCAGTAACTTCAAATAACCTCGACCAAAACACCACATCCAGTGTGAGCATATGCAGCCTATGTTTAGTGTTTAGGTTGGAAGAGATCGTATTCCATTCTCTCCAAAAACTCAACGTACTGGCAGCTTCAACACTGTCGAGCAGGAGATGATTTGAAACATCATTACTCTCTTCATTCACAATATCTTCATTTGCTTTTTCAGGACTCTTCACTACTTTTTTTTTTCTTTGCTTTGGTGATTTTCTTTAATTTTGGTGTGGATTGCAACTAAAAAATTAACATGTTAAATAATTATCAATACGTTAATATTTTAAAATTATACCAAATTTAAAATATGAGTTTTGTACCACTGTGAACGGAGTCCGCTGATACCATGGAACACCCCCTCTTTCGTTGCGGCCTAACAATAGGAGTCATTTCTTTTGTGTGATGTTCACCCACGCCCGATGACGGCTCAACATGCGTAGGTGTAGGCCCAAATTCCCCCTCCAAACCATGAGTACCTATATCATCATAGTCAAAATGTGTATCATGGTAATATTTTTCTTCCTCCTCTTCATTTATCATATCTTCCTCCTCCTCCACCTCCTCCTCCTCTCGAAACCCTCTGTCTAGTTCAACATTTGTGTCTGGTTCATCTTTTTTCTGTAATACACAGTCTACTTTAGAACTTAAGTCAGTCACAACGCCTAGTAGACGCTTCACTAATGCCTTTGTGCTCGTCTTCTTCTTCTTTACCAATCTTGATGTGTCGTTTGACATATAACTTGTTTCTATTTCAAGATGTTGCGGGGAAGAAGCATTTGTGGCAGATTCAGTCGAAGATGTTTCTATTTCGGACTTGTACATCCTTCTTCGAGCAGGCGAGGCAACATGAGGTGGACTATTTCGGACATGACTATGTTGCCGTGGGGGAGACTCTACAAGGTTAAGAGTCCAATTGACATAACGAACATAAAACGGCAACATCAGCTCCTCCGGGTTTGCCACAACATTAATAGGTTGGTTGTTAGGCTGCAAAAATCAGATTGTTAGTTTAACATGAAAAATACATTGGAATTTGTAAATATAGATGATTGTTAATATAAAAAGCATACCACAGACACATTCATTATTCGACAACATTGAATCCAAGATAACGGTGTTTTGCTTCTCCACGCCCTAATCCGTGGCAATTCTGTCGGCGTGCGTATATAAAACTTGGTTGCCTCTGGGAACGTCTCCAAAATCCATATCTATGAAAAAAAATGTAAGTATCGTGCTATTATACTATAAAAGTCATGATACAAACTTATTATATAATACAAAACGAAGTTCAATTTTTTATAGTATAAAAAACTAAACAATGATAACTATTTAAATGCATTAGAAAGTAACCTTAAACGGAAGCATAAAACCGGGAATGGTATACTTGTGTACTTTCTTCGATTCGGGATTGGCCTGCTTCAGTACTCTAAACTCTTCTATTTTCTTAAATATTCCACGCATCAAACGCGAAGTATATTTCCAGAAATACGTACCCCATGCAAACCTGCAATTTTCAATTTATTTATTATAATTAGTGCATTGCATACTACTGCGGGAATGCCTGTTTTAAATGTAATACCTGTTCCAATCATCTATTTTATCAGCAAGCTTGTATACTGCTGCAGGAATGCCCGTTTTACGTCCCGTCCTTGTAGACCCTTCAACATAAAAACAAGCTGGATATGCATCACAACATCTTCATCTTGTAGTGCCAAATATTTCGGGGACATAATCAAGTCTTCTAAATCTTTCAGCCGCAAACGTGCATCAGAAATATCTGGGAACAACCGAGCACGGAGATTTGAATTTGACTGGCCCTTTTCGTCATGGAGTAAATCCACATAAGGACCAACTTTTAAACCACAAATGAGAATATATTCAGTTTCACCAAAATCCAACTGGATCCCCTCTATATCAAAAAGAAACCTCCCCATTTCAAATATTTGTTGACACCTTACTTTGTGCAACATCATCATATGCACAAGTAAGGGATCACCATGTGGGATATGCATTCCTAAGAATATTCCAAAGGGTGAAGCTTCGAATAATACTCGTTGTGATTGTGTTAGGCGCAGAAAATAGTCTTTAATGATAGTCCCCACCACGCCTTTCAAAGTTAAATCCGCTTTTTGATTGAGATCTTCGTGCTACACAACAAAAAAAAATCTTATTTCATTTAAAACATTACTAATTGAAAATAAAAAACAAGGTTCCAAAATGACTTTTCTAATTCGGTTTATGAAATAAATAGCAACATACTTTTTATATATAACTAAATACACAAAAGAAAAGGGCGGCAAAAGCAGAAAAAAAAATTGTGCAAAAACTATTTTTAATGTCATTCCGCGGAGGCTAGAGGTCATTCCGCGGAGGCCTCTCTGCGGAGTGACCTTCATCTCCGCGGAGACCTGCATTTCTTCGATTATAACATTCCGCGGAGGTAACACTTCACTCTGCGGAGCACCCTCTGTGGACTGACGTACCCCTCCGCGGAATGGATCATCCCAAAAATCGTTCCTGTGATTTGTAAACCTAAAAAATTCTAAAATTGTATACATATTCAATGTAATAAAATGGGGTTTCCTCTAATTTGAATCATATTCGACATTTTCGACATTAATAATTAGATGGAAATGTGAGAAATACCCGGGAACCGTATCCATCGGCCATAACATCGGGGAATTGGCGGTCCATCGGTGATGGATTTCAAGTGCTATATACTCGATTTCGCCGGATTTGAAGTCGTTTGACGGCGTATTCCACCGGATTTGAAGTCTTCGATGAACGACTATGCGAGGCGATGCGGAGTGAATTAGACAAACAGGGACCAGTGGGGACCAAAAGAGGACCCCTTCGTTTTTCTCAAAAAAAAGGGTTGAAATTACGAAATTACCCCCTCTACGCGGAGATTTCATGGTTCCGCGGAGGCCCGCGGAGGGTCCTCCGCGGAATGTATGTCTATAGCCGGAAAAATCTATTTTTATGACTAAATTTCGAAAGTGACCCCCATTTTTTTTTCTATTTGCGGTATTTTCCCTAAATCTTTTGGTTGTATCATTTCTACTAATATGTTTAAAAGTATGGCAAGGAGTTTCAATTTGGGTGTGGGGTACTCCTTGTGATATCAACATCTTCGTAGGGACTATGGAGCAAATTTAATATATCTCATGTGGCACACATTATGTCTAGCTTTGGTATTCATTATTTTATGGTTTATATAGAAAGCTTATAATGATATCTTGTTTTAAAAGGCGAAGATGAACATGGTTAAATGAGCGATTTTTGATCCAAATGTGGTCGATGTGCTAGCGTACAAATATGCTGGGAGCCACTGAGCAACTAGCAACTAGCAACTGAGCAACTAGCAACTGACTGATTAAAAAATGGTCAAAAATGGTTTTACAGTTAGTTGATTACTTTAAGCAAAATGTTAGATAATTTTTGGATGTTGATATCACGTGAGGTGCTTCTGTTTTTTCTTGGGTTAATGATACTCTCATTGTAAGCGATATTTGGGCCCAATGTAAATATCTACTTCAGACCAAATTAAAGGTTTTAGAATTGTATGTGTTGATGTCTTATAGCTTGAAAATCTTAATATCTAAGCATCTAATATTCTCAATAACACAAAGTCTATGTACATGAATGAAAATCAGACAAAAAGGAATGAAAATTAGAAATGAATAGTGAAAACAAACATGAAAGGGTGAAACTAGAGTTAAGGAAGGATGGTTGGCGGCCGTGATGGGTGGTGGCCGTGGCCGGAGGAGAGATTGGTGCTCAACGATGGTGCAATTGTGTTAGCATGTTGGCTGTATCAGCGTGCGTCATATACTCGTACACCTGATTTGACCAAACCCCTAAACCCAAAAGTGTAGGCAATGATTCAACTGTGGGCTTTTGTTTGCTACTATTTTTTTGTTTAATTTTAATTATAATGGATTGAGCTAATTTTTGCTGGATAAATTTGAAGGTGGTTTAGGCATTGTGCTATTTTATATGGACTGTAATATATAAATAGCTCATAGGTGTTCAAAAATCTAATACATATTTTTTTATTTGCAAAAAATTATTAGGTAATTCCTTCATAAATTCTAAGTTTGTTCCCCTAAATTTTTGCAACATAATTAAACTTACAATTAAGATAATTAGGTGGGTCCTAGGACATACCATAGCTTTGCCCCTGGTATAACAAAGTTTTTAAAAACAAGAATGTATTGAACACACATGTAAAAAAACAAAGATACCAAAACAAAATATATATTTTAATTACATTTAAAAAAATAAAGATATAAAAAGACAGCACTTCATCATCGGGGAATTGATTTGTCTTCTATTTTATGTCCATGTTGTGGGGAGGTGATAGAAGATGGTGTTCACTTATTTTTGAAGTGTTCGATGGCTCGTCAATTATGGATTAAGTTTGCTAGATGGATAGATCTGATGGTGCCATCCTTCAACTTTATTGAAGATGTTTTCGAATGGATTGATAGTCAAGCTGTTGCATATGCTCGAAGATTGATCATTGAGATGACTTGTGCGACTTTAATTTGGGTTCTTTGAATTTACCGGAATGCGTTAGTTTTTGACAAGGTTGTAAAAATCGTTCGACAGTAGCTCGGCGGTCGACTGACGTTAAATGATTAATCAGACTCGGCGGGGATTAATCGACGATTAATCGGGGACCCTAAATTATTAATAAAATTATTTAAAATATTAATATATCCTAAAAATATAAGTATTTCAAAATTTAAAATTTTGAAAATTTGAAAATTTAAAAGTTATAGTATAATATATTAAAATTATAAAGCTTAAAATTTTGAAAATTAAAAATTTTGGTGTAATATTTGAAAATTAAAAATTTTGAATTTTTTAAATATTTTCCGCCTGTGACCGCCGAGGGCAGCCAAGGACCGTCAAGCCTGAGTTTGACCGATTTTGACCAATTTCCGCCAAACACCCTAATCGTAATCGGTTCAAGGCCGCCAAATGATTAATCTCCGATTAATCGGCCGCGAAGGCCGATTTCTGCAACACTGATTTTTGGTATCGTGAAGTACAAGAGAGAGTTAATGTTTGATTCTATTGTCTCGTTTTCTTTTAGTTGGTTTTGTAGTTGAAATCGTAAAGTTAGGAAAACTATAACTGGGTGGCTTCAAAATCCGCTCAATAACTAATTGTTCTCGTTTTGTTTTGGCTAGCTGCTAGCGAGCCTTTTTTTTTTTTTTTTTTTTTTTTTTTTTTAATTTTCATTGCCGTTCAAAAAAAAAAAAAACAGCACACGTCAATCTGTGATTAAATTTATTTTTTAAATCCAAATTCTTAAAATCCTTAGTTGTACAAAAACCGTAAAAGAAGACATACAAAAAAAGTTTTACTAGGAAATTTAATAAAAAGCATGAAAAAACAAATTTATAAAAAAAAGTGCAGAAATATTCTCACAACTTAGTATTGCTTTGGCAGATTCAGAATTTCTTGATTTTTTGAGCGGTTAAATTAATTTCAACAAATTTATTTGGTAAGATATTACCTTATTCTTTCTTTTGGTTATTTAAAAGAATCACTATTTCTAGTATCAGTTGAATTCGTTCAGTACACAAAATTATCATTAATATTTCGTATATATAATAATTAAGGGGTACATCATTCGTATTGGTACATGGATTTGTCAACGAAGTTTGTAAAAACAAGAATGTGTTAAAAACACATGTAAAAAATCAAAGATACCGAAACAAAAAATATATTTAAAATACATGTAAAAAACAAAGATTTAAAAAGACAGCACATGTTAATCTATGCATAAATTTATTTTTTAAATTCAA